CTTTCGTGGACTACAGCCCACTTCTTCGGATGCATAGAAGTGGGCTGTAGTCCACGAAAGCTTATGCTCTAATAAATTTGTTAGTCTCTAAGGTGCCACAAGTACTCCTGTTCTTCTTTTTGCGGATCCAGACTAACACGGCTGCTACTCTGAAACCTGTAGTTATCATACACTACCTATCCCTTACAAGTCTCAGGGCAAGAAGGGGTAGAATCATAGAATATCAGTGTTGGAAGGGACCTCAGGAGGTCATCTAGTCCACCCCCCTGCTCAAAGCAGTACCAATCCCCAACTAAATCATCCCAGCCGGGGCTTTGTCAAGCCTGACCTTAAAAACCGCTAAGGAAGGAGATTCCACCACCTCCCTAGGTAACCCATTCCAGTAATGCCATGACACATGATACTGAGGGGATTCTGGGCTAATATAAATTAGAGCAGCCATGTGCTGCTCTAACTTATGCTGTAGGGTGCTCTGGGGGCCCAAATATCCTATCTGGGGAATGCAAAGATGGCATAAAGCCATCTTTTCCCTACGCTTCCTATATCCTGGGCTGCACATTCTGTGCTGTGCATCTTAGAGGCACAGCACAGAAATGAAGCTATTACCAGGAGATTACGTCTTGTACAACAGTCAAGTTGGATGAGTCTGTCATTTCAGGGGTTTACACTTCATGTGTGTGGTGTGGTGTTCTTTCAACAAGCAGTTTAGAAGCAACACGAATATAAAGGATTTCCTTCAGTGAAGTGTTGTGCATTAAATTTGATTGGTATTGTGAAACAAGTTTCCTCTTTATTTTGGTTTATTCTATGTAAATATTTTTGTAATTAACTTTTAGGTTTTAAAAAAGTTTTAGTCGAGTTATTTTATAGGGAGCATCGTTTTTGCTGTGCAGTTATTATAATTGTAATTACTCTATGTGCTACAGTCTGCAGTTTACTCAGATGAAGAATGCTTGCAAATAGGCTAGGAAGAACTGCAGTATAAACTATTATTTAAACCTGTTTTGTTTTAATAACTTGCTACTTGTGGTCTGGAATCCTGACTCTTGGTACCAAGGTATTAATGTTGCAATAACTGGTGACTGCTTAGTTCTATGACAAGTTATAATTTTGTTGTAACTTTATCCTTTTTAGTGTATTTTGTAGAAATGAGTAATATTGATATTCTCTTTCCACTTGGTTTCTATAATTAAATAACTATCCTTTGGAGACAATTCCTAACTAAAATTTGTATGCATATGTTTATGAGCCAGGATTCTTATATTCTACTTCCTGGTATACCACAGACTTTCTCTGTAACCCATAATAGTTATCTAGCATCACCAAAAAAAATTGTGCATGAAACACACAATGCAGGGGCACAGATTGGTGTTCATCTGAACATCATGGGATGTGTATGTGCAAACTCCAACTTGCATGTGTGCACTGGGGGTTGCATGCATCCAAGCCAGTCATGCATAAGTTGTTTTGAAGATGTAGGCCCTAACTTGTGAATAACTCAAAGAATAGTGAAAATTGTTTTTTTTTAGGTTAGAAAGTGGAAGGTACTATGAGTGCTAAGTAATACTATTATTAGGTTGCATCAACCATGATAATTGTGGCTAACAAGTGCAGTGGATTGACCCTTGGACAGAATCAAAAGATTAATTTGAAGTGGATATACAGTTTATGATTATTTTGAAATGTGAAGATATTGTTTCTTTTTAAGAAGGAAAAGAAAATTAAAAGAGGAGTTGTATTCCTTCCAGAGGAGACTACCTCCTTTCACTGCCTAAACCCCTTTTGATCAAGGTGTCCTCCTTGCTGCTGCACATCACCTCTCCCAAGAAAGATGACTCCTCTGCAGTTGTGCTGCCATTAACTGGCTCCCTTTCAGCCAAGCCTGTGTCCTATCCATTCCTCTGGGGAAACAGCATGAAGTGTCTTTTCTTGCAGAAATACCACAAGGTATAGTGTGGCTACTCTCTCCCTCTGTCCCAAAATATCATTCTGACCTGCAGAACTGCAACAACATGGTGCTCAAGAGGGACTTCCACAAGCTCAGGGGAGATGGGGATGCATCATTTTGCTTTGGCTCTGCTTCTCACTTCTTCTGTACACTAATGGTCCTTTATAAATTTCTTTTTCCTGCTTTTTTTGCTCCCTACGGCACATCACAGAAGAGGGGAACGTAGGACCCAAATTGTTTTGATAAACACTGCCCTTAGACTCTCTAAAGAGCACTGCAAGCTAAATACCAGATCAATGTAGAAGTGGTTTTTTTTTCAGCAAATAAAATTTCAAGCACTACAGCAGAAAACAACAAAATAATCTAAATTATTGGTAACTTCCAGCCCTATCTATTATTGCTCAACTTGTCAGCAAGAGAGTGCTATTTATTCTTCACAGGTTGTCAAAGTTGATTAAATTACTGCAGATGAGACTGTTCTCCCACAAGATTTTAATCAATGAAATACAGGTTCAAATAATGTCTTCTGTGGTTTGACATCATTGTGACTGTCTTAAGAAGAATCAATGGAAATGATGAGGATGATTTACCCCTGCCTAATTAATAACATTATCAGTTCACAGGCACTGACTGCCTTTTTTTTTTCTTCTCCATCTGTCACATTTCATTTTTTCAAATTGATTTCCTTTTACTGTAAACTGTTTACATGTTCCAGGCTTCAAATACTTGACTATCCCTAGAGTTTCTCTCATCCAGAATATTAAGTAACTAATAAATATATTTACATTAAAGTGGAAAAATCATTTTAAATAGGTCCCTTGGGAGTATTATAAAGTTTGAATTGCTATTAATACTAATTTTAAAAAATTCTTCTCTTCATTCCAAAAACAATATAAAAACTTACTCCTATTTGTATGCATTTCCCACTATGATAGTACCAATTTTACATGTGTGCAAATTTGTGTATGTGCACTCAGCCATTTACAAAGGTATTGTTTTTGTTTTTTTTATAGATGATCCATAGAGTTTTATGCCTATAGGCAGCTCTTCCTCTCCACTAGCATTTGCTCCAAAAGTCAGAGGGCCTGATTCTGGTTTCACTTAAATGGATGTAAATCCAGGAGTAACTCCATTGATTTCAGTGAAGTTAGTGTGTAAAAACCAGTATTATAGGAAAATTGGTCTAAAGTTTCCTAGCAACATGACCTGAAAGTAATCTGTTTGTTCAGGCTTTCCCTAAAAGGGTAAGTCGAGTTGGGAGATTGGGGGGAGGGGGGGGAGAAGAGAGATTTTATTTCCTTATAGTTGTGTAATATATTTACTTAAAAACTCCTAGAGAATATTATATGATGCTATAATTAGAAAATATCTACAGTATACACACGTATATTAGAGCAGTAAAGGCTGAAATGTGAAATAGAGTTTAAAAAATGGGTGTTGAGTATTACCAAGGTCTTTTTGATTTTTGTTTAACTCAGCTGCATGAATCCAAAGAGCAATGTGATTAGTTTAGCTAGGTCTGTGCTGCAGAGCTGATTTACTTGGGGCTTGTCTACACATAATTTTTGCATTGATCCAACCATAGTTGTTTATAAATCCATATAATTAAATCAGTGCAACCCTCAGTGCAGATGCAGTTTATATGAGATCTTCTGATATAAAAATCTTACAATAGCATAGCTTGTTTCTAAACCAATATAGTTAGATTGGTACAAAAACTGTGTAGAGCAGCCGGTAATCTTCATCTAGAAATGTTGCACAGGCAACCTTAATTCTGGCATTTCCTAACTTTTGAGTGCTTGACTTTGCAAACTTAATGTTCTTTTAACTTAGTTTTGTGGAGATATAAAAATAAAATCAGGGATATGATTAATTGGTTAGTGGTCCATGGATGAAGGCTGGTCATATGGTACTATCTCTTCTTTCCAGCTAAGAAAATCTGAGTAAATGGGATGGGGAGAAAAAATAAAATAAATATCAAAAGTAGAATAATTGGTTCCAAAGAATCCCAAAATACTTATCACCGTTATACCAAATAAAAATCCATAAACTCTAGAATCATAGGGTTGGAAAGGATTGCAAGGGTCATCTAGCCTAACCTCTAGTCAAATGCAGGTTTTGTTGTGTTTAAACCATCCCAAGCCAGATGCCTATCCAGTCTCCTTTTGAAAACCTCCAGTGAAGGAACTTCCACAACTTCCCTAGGCACTGTGTTCCATTGTCCTACTGTTCTTACAGGTAGGAAGTTTTTCTGTTTTATTCTTCCACATAAACAATTGCATGAAGAAATTAGATGGTCACAAATGGAAGGGGAAGTCCTCAATTACACCTGTACAAACTCACTTAGGGTACACAAATGTAATTTAGGGTATAATCTGTAGACCGTGGAGCTACACAGGTACAACAGAGGGCCTGATTTGTCCTGCAGAATCTTTAACAGATAGTTATGCAAGAGGTGGAAAGAGAAGCTTAGGGTGAGTTTGCAGAGCTGACTGTTAAAGAAAACATCTCTTTACTTGTAAATTTAAGGTGGAAATCAATGAAAATGGAACCCCATGATGCCAATCTAAAGTACATTTTAGGGTAGAAATGCAAGATAAAAGAAGATGAAACTTTGGCAACTCTTCAAACTACTGAAATCACGATAGGGATGAGAATGATGGGAAGAATTAGAACTGCATATAAAAACTGTACACTGCATGCACTAGTAGTAATGGCTGCTGTTAAAATACCCCCCCCCCCCAAAAAAAAGAGGTCTTTCTTCAAAGTATACTATTTCTTTCATGGGACATAATCTCTAAATGCTAATAGAGAGCTATCGATTATAGCTTTTACTTACATGGATAGTCATTTTGAAGCTGATAGGTCTATGTGAATAAGAGTTTACAGGATTAGACCTATAATCTTAACGTGAAATTGAATGTGCGCAGTTAGAAATGATAGTGAACAAATAAAGCTGTGTATTGTATAATATTTGCATTTGTGGGTCAATTGGCCAAGGAAATAGTCTCTCAAACCAATGACGTCAATCTAGACAAGATACAGAATGCATGTTTTAAATATGCACTTTACCTATTTTTAATTACTTCTTATCTTGTGCATGGTTCCACGCTTTAAAAGTGATGGTTTTCAGTAAAGCAAACCAGTGCTCAGGTCACTTTTAAAAGTCTTGCTCCTGGTTTTGCTTTTTTAATTGGAAAAGAAACTTTAAAAGATACTTGGCTGCAAGTAAAGTCGTAACACAGCAAGGCTCACACTCTTGTAATAAAATCTGAATATTTAATAGTTTTGGGTGTTTATATGTTCTACTGAAAAATGCCAGTCACAGAGGACAAAGAAAATAAAAAGCAACAGAGGGTCCTGTGGCATCTTTAAGACTAACAGAAGTAATGGAGCATAAGCTTTCGTGGGTGAATGCCCACTTGCGT